GCGCTTCGGCTTCACGTACTCCTCGCCACAGTCCACTCCTCTGCCTACCGGTCACTCGCTCTCAGCTCCACCTTCGGACGAGTCCGTAGAGCCGAGTGGCCCGTATCCAGAGCTTGTGGGCTGCCTCATGTACCTGATGACTTGCACACGACCTGACCTAGCATACCCTCTCAGCCTTCTGGCTCGCTACGTGGCTCCTGGTAGGCACCGAAAGGTGCACTGGGATGCTGCAAAGAGGGTGTTGCGCTACTTGTGCAGTACGTCGGGCATGGGGCTCGTGCTTGGAGGACGGGCTCGAGTTGTCCTCACTGGTCACGCAGACGCTTCCTGGGTTGACGACTTGACTACGCAGCGGTCGTCACAGGGTTACACCTTCAGTCTTGGCTCCGGTTCTGTCTCTTGGAGGTCTACCCGCTCTTCTTCTGTTCTCAGCTCCAGTTGTGAGGCTGAGATCTACGCTGGGGCCATGGCTGCACACGAGCTACGCTGGCTCACTTGTATCCACCTGCTTTCTAGTTCAGTCAATCATTCGTTCACATTCTAACACGACGGGCCTGGTGCCGAGGTTTGGGGAACTGTCGAGGCGGAGGTCTGGAGCGCGGGTTACCAACCGAACCGTGAGGTTGGGTCGCATCGTGAACAGTGGTGGGAATGGGGTCGAGGCGAATGTTGCGAGTGGTAACGGGATATTGTGGGGTGCTGTTAGTGTTGTACGCGCTGAGTAGGGACGCGAAGTAAGGAAAATGAATTTTCCTTACAATTTGCATTTCATGACAATCACGTAATTACCACTATAGCATCCAACATACAAAAATATGTCGTAGCGAGAACAGATAAATCACTACCATCACATCACAATTGAATTAGACAATACTTACTACAGGTCATGTAGCTAGCAACTATTGCATCCAGTTTTTTTAGTTCACATTTTATTTTAAATAAATAAAATGTGAACAAAAAAATATGTCGAAATCGATCGTAATAGGTTGCTTCGCAACCCCAAAAAAACAAGGACAGCTGGCGATACAGATTTACTTCGCCAGCAGAGAATCAGGGAAAAGTCCGGAGTGGGAATAGGGTGTTTTTCTCAGACTGCCTTCAAACTACGGGTGGATTTTGGAGGGATTTCTTCAGAGTTCTTGCGTGGTGCCTGTAACTCGTGTGTTTATTTAACTCTCCTGATCTCTCAAGACAACACTGCTGCAAGAGTTTCGGCCGGATAATTGGACAAGATCCGAAGCGAGCTGCACCAAGTCATAATCCGCCTACTGCAAAGAGAAGGTGCACCGTCTGCACCATTAATTTATTCAGCCCAGTGAAGGTGCGCCGCCGATTTAGACCCTGCATTGGCGAGTCCCACTTGGACTGGGACGAGTGGCGCGTGACAGTCACACTGTGTTTTTCGCGGAATTACTGTAGTAAAAGCGGTGGTTCTTGGCAGGGCAGGAAATAGAAGGCAGAAGATTGTACACTGAAGTAATTACGAAACACTGATTTTGGGATGTCACTTTCTTACAAGCCAGCTGTAAGACAGGTGCATTGTGTTGTCTTATGCATATGTCCTTGTGCAACGAACGACGCAATGATGCGCCTTCTTTCACAATGCAGTTGATGCTCACATATATTTTCTTTTTGGAAAGGTGTGTTCAATCATAAAAATTGTAACTCGCGAACGTTTTTTGCATGTGAATTACTGAGAGCCTGGTTCAGCAAAAGCAGGTCGTAAAGAGAAACCAGTAACGTTACGGAACCGTACGAAGCCATTATTTTTCTGGGTTTTTTGGGGTGTTTCACAACTCCGCTGTAGTGCAGGACGTGAAACTGGCTCGAGTGGGTTGGTTGGTTGGTTTGTGTGTTGGTTCACGAGATGCGACAAACGTTCCAACGGTGTATACTGTAAAAGGAGAAATACAGTACTTTGGGCAGTGTAACTTTTGTGCCGCCCGTAAGAAGCTCTGATTCGATGTGCGACGTGTGGGTCGTGAACTTCCCGAATTTTCGGTTTCGACATTGCAGTACTGTACGTTTTTTCGGCGCTGACCTCTGAAACTTAGTACTGTGGTGTTTTTTCTATGGCCGAACGACAATAAATAAAACGAATGTATAAGGTTAACAAACTCAAAGCCAACCATATGGAGGGGGGCTGATATCCGGGAAGAGGGGGACGGTGAGGAGATCACGGGATTCGTCTGTGAGGGGGGGAGAGGTTGTCATCACATAACCCAAAAACTTCCCTCGATCGCAATCCGCATCTCTCTTTCCCCATCCCCACCCCAACCACAGACATCCATTTTTCCTTATGTGTTGCCCCACTCACGAAGAAGCACATGAGTAAAAGAACCCAAATGCAACACAGATAGAACCCCCCCTCAAGATACCCAATCAAAACGCCGAGTCAAGACACCCCATCAAGACATCCCATCCCACACCCCACCCCCCCCCCCCCCCCCCTTCAATCACAACAGCGTATCGACCATGTACGGGGCCTCTACCCAGAGAGCCCCGCCTTCCACATCGACATCGTCCCTCTCCCGGTCCACCAAATCTACGTTAATCCCCCCCATGGAAGACGCCGCTCGAAGCAGGATGACACGGGCTTGCGCACGTTGTAACGCCACCCCGATGAGCGCCTTCAGTGACCCTAAAAGATAAGCCGAAAACACAGAGTCGTCCTCTCGACAAGCCCCCCGCGACACAGCTAGCCCCACGTGCGCATCCCCTTGCTGACGAAGCCACCGCTGAAAACGACCGCCGAGACACCCCCACGTCTCAACTATCAAAGGGGTGAACTGCACGCCCCGGTTGCGTGCAAGCAGAGGCGCGTAATCACTCGTTTTGCGACGCTCCCACTCCCTTGCCGCCACACCTATTTGACGCCCGCACTGTCCCAGCAGTGATGGAGACAGCGATAGCGGGTCCGCGACGCTGATCTCTAGGGCGTGAGCCTCTCCAGCCATTGGTCGTCGCACCGCCACATCAACCCGCTTCCCCTGCAGCACCACACTATCCTCCATTGTCACCACCCCCCCCGACGCCTTAGAGATCTTCGCCACCGCAAACTTCACCTCATCATGCACCCGAGATGGACCATGCTGGTGCTTGCATCTCAGGGCATGGTGCGGGTCTGCTGGGTCAACATACGCTGTGCCACAAACACACCTCCCCGCCACCTGCAGCTGCTGAATTGGGAGGCCAAGCCGTATAGCAGCAGCGATGCCCCACTCAGCCGCGGTGAATGTGAGATCTGAGTGAGCCGGAACCGCCGAAACCCATGCACCCGCCCCCGGGCCCTGAAGGGATGTGAAACGGGCCAAGGTAGCATCGTCACGAGCCAAGCGGCGTAGTGCCTGGAGCTCCTCTACAGCTAACTGCCGCTGCCGCGCCTGGAAAAGCCGAACAGGAGGGGCCGCTACACACAGAGGTAAGCCCGGTATCTCGTGGCGGATAGTCGCTGGCAGCTGCTCAAGAGCCTTGACAAACCACGGGTCAAGAAACTCTGCCCCTGTCGAAGTTGTGAGGTACTCTGCAAACATCGCCTCCTCACCCGCCACCCCTAACTGTGCAATGTCACGCGCGGCCTGCGCCCACCCACAAACATAGGACAGTGGGCTCAAAGAGGCCGCCGCCCGGATCCCGAACCCTCCGAGTCGCACAGGGAGATGCAGCTGCATGCGTGCGCGCCTAGACCGGTCGGGGTCCTGCTCCCAAGTGCCAGGTGGGAAAAGCTGCTCAAAGCAATCCTCTAAACAGCTGTCCCAATCCCTAAAAGCCTCAACCACCTCCGGACGCGGCGGCATAGTCCGGGCGAGGTACATCGGCCGCGCTGAAACTGCAATGGCGAGGAGGTGTGAAGCCATCTGAGGGTGGTCGAGCAATTGGAGCCATGGCAGTGGCGCCTGCAACTGTCGAAGCCGCTCCCGTAGCCGGACCACCTCCCAAACCTCCTCCCCAATAGGCACGCCCACCACAGTAAGACCCTCATCCACCCGCTGCATCCCCAATGGCAGTGCCCGCTCCACCTCCTTGCCTTCGCGCTCCCAAAACCGGCACTTGTGTGCCTGCACCTCCAGCCCCACCCACTCCAACCGCTCCTGCAGCACCCCAAAAGCCTCCAGAATCCTAGCCGCTGGCCCCAAAATATAGGTATCGTCTGCATAGCTGAGGAAAAGCAGGTCCTTGAACTCCCTAGTAACCGGCTCCATCACCTGCTGCTGCGTGAACGCGAAAAGAAAAGGGCCGAGCGGGTCCCCCTGCCTCGATCCCCGTGCTGACTCGAGGCTCTGTACGAAAGGGCCTGCTCGGAGGTACAGGTCGCTAGGTGTCCCATAAAAAACACGCAAGAATGGGATCATCCCTGAGAAAGGCGACTCCCGCAGCCCGTCAAACATCACATGACGGTGAAACGAATTGAAGGCGTTTGCGACGTCAATCTGTAGCGCGCACTAGTCGGGGTGAGTGGCCAGCGCTGACCGAAAAGAATGAGTGAGAATCTCCGCCCCGACCCTGGTGCCCGCTCCCAGCTGGTTGCACGGCAGGAAGTAGGAAACCATCGCAGGGCAGAGCGAGATGCAGAGAGCTCGAGCAAGGATACGAGGAAGCACCTCCCCGATCGCCACCGGCCGGACGTCGCCGTTAGGCTTGGAAAGCCCGACTAGGTTGGATGCGGCGAGCCACGGCCGAGCCCGCTCGGGGACCTGTCCCGCCACCCATTGGTTGAACACTTCCAACAAGTGGGAAAGGCAGGAAGGTTCAGTGAGGAAGGTGTCGCGCAGATGCTCTGTGACCCACCCCGATGGCCCTGCTGCTGAAGCTCGAGCGGCTGTATGGATAGCTCTGGCCAGGATGTCGGTCGTGAGTGAAGGCCGCTGAGCAGTATCGATGGTGAAATCGCGGACCCACTGTGGTACCTCGCCAGCGCTAGCCGGGTGCTTCTCTCGCAGCGACTGCACCATGGCCTCAGACGGTCGAGCCAACTCCCCTGCTGTAAGGCAGGCCAATCCTCAGCTCCACTCCCCCACTTTGCACCGAAATCGGCACCGTGACAGGCGGATGGCATCCGGGTCCTGGTCAGAGCAAGTGTAGGAAAGTGGGCGAACTGCTGGCCGCGCCGCCACCATGGCAGAGTCGAACAGCTCCCGCCACCTCCCCTCCCATAACGCACCCAACCGCTCTGTGATCAGCGCCTTCTGACCTATGCCTGGCTTGGGAGGCACGGCTAGGATAAGGCGCGGAAACGCCAAGAGTAGGAGGGTAGCGGCTTCATCTCCAGGCTGGCTCTTCAAGCGCTTAAGGATGCAACAGAGCGCGTCTAAGACCCCCGACCTGGCCCGCTGTGGGATCCGGCGCACTGTCCTCCCTCCAACCGCCTCCACACTGAAAAAAGTTTCCCATTCCCATGACGTAACCCCAGCCCACGCCTCGTCCCCAAATTCCCGCGGCGTCGATCGCTCCTGCGTGTCGGTCTCCACCAGAGACGGAATCGAGCCGAGAGCCTGTGCACGCCTCTCCGCCTCAGCCGCCCGGCATACCCTCATGTGGTTCGCAGCAGCCCCTCGCGTAGCGAAAGTGTGGAAACACGTGTCACACGGAAAGCGGGGGCATGGGGAAGGCGGCATGGGAGGTTCTTCGTCCGCCTCTGACTCCTCCGCAGTCGCCATGGGGGTATCAAACTCCAAAAGTCGACACCACTCCTCCAAAAGTCAACATATGGTGTTTTTTTGTGTTAGTACATTATCAAACGTAGATACATCCACATTCGTAACTTAGTACTGTGGTGTGTCCTCGATCCTAACCCAGAACATATATACTGTTATTGTCGAAAAGGAGTCCTACATACAGTTCTGTACAGAAAGATTCAGCAAGTGAACTTAATTTTCGAAGATTCAGCCAGCAACACCCCGACAACAGCCCATATCTCATAGCTTCGAGAGTGTTACTCCCGCTTCATCGGGAGAGAGAGGGGGGGGGGGGGGGGGGGGGGGGGGGGGGGGGGGGGGGGGGGGAAGGGGAATGGGAGAACTATGAGAAAAACCCCGATCCATCCCCAAACCAGTTCGTGATGAATCTTGTCACAGACTGGATCCTATCCGTAAAGAAAACAGAAGTCGTTAGCGCTTACCCTTTTAACGTCTAATGTTAGGCGAAACTAGCCCAGAAAGCGGAGCAAATGCTTTTGTTGCGTTTGCCATAAAGTCTGGCAGGTCGTGTGCTCTGGGAGTTCGAGTCCGACAATTAGTCAATACGGTTACTTTATTAGTGACGACAGACCTTGTGGCGGCATTATCATAAGCGCCGAACAAGGTCCCACAAGGTCCGACTGTGGTGCGGGGTGTAGCTTGTGACTGTCCACGCGACAACCGTTGTCACCAATCAAATCGACGATAGTACTCCAGCCAGAATATTATGATAAGGAGGAAGCTTGAGATGAGAAGTCCTCCATGCTTTCGTCATTGTCACAAAGCCTGAGGAGTGGATGGATGACTGCAATTCACAGCACACGCCTTGCGATAATGGAGCAACCGTGCACAAACAATCGAAGAAACCCTACAAATTTTCACTACCACCTCCGTTTTTGTTTGTTTGTTTGTTTGGTCGGTGTTGATTTTGTGAAAGGGTTTGCTTGCCTTGTCAGGTGCGTGGCACTTTTAGTAGAACAATGGATTTGGTGTCATCGTTTAGTCAAAATCTTAACACAAAGCCGGTTTTCTAAGCTCTGAAACCCTGGGCGGTCAGCGCACGAGCCACAGGATCAGCACATTCTGTTCTGCTCTCTTCCTTACTGTGAAGCTCCAGTGGAGCGACCCATCCCATCTAACAAACCATCAAGTGAGGAGGGATTTCTGCCATACAACAGTTTAGACTCTACTATACTTGAGTACTGCGTTCTAGACAAGCTCCTCTCGTAGGAGACGCACGGAACCGCATGGGTGCCGCCAATAGTACTAACAAACAGATAAACGATGACTATCACGAAATGTCAATGAGGATAAAACTCCTTGCCAAGGCTGCGAAAATAGAATATACGCTCGAGTCAGGCACTCCTAACGCTAGCAACTCATCATAAAAAATGTTCAGTCCCGAATCTCACTTCCTGTCGTAAATGTCACTTCTTAAGTCCAAGTCGGAGGACCAAGTGTTTTTCAGTATACGGCTAGGTCACATTTGGGTCACCTTTTGTCATTGAAAAAAACATTTCCTGAACCTACTACTAGGACACTTCCTGGATAGGACTCGGTGAAGAGACTTCGTCCTTCAAGAACATTTTACAGATCTATGAATATTTAGAGTCTACCGTCAGAACTTCTTGCTGAATCCGAAGATTCTTCTCCAGGAATCTAATATATACTAAAAAAAAAAAAAAAAAAAAAAAAAAAAACCGAATCATGTAAGTCTCCAACAAACCCCCCACCAACCTTCCATCCAACTCCTCATCCTTCTCCGTTCGCAGTTACTGCTACTAGTAGTGCTACCAGTAAGTCATAATGGAACATGATCATGTACACGAAAATAGGGAAGCTGGAGAAAAGGAGGCCGCATCAGGATTCCAACGGCAGATAATCCAGCAAAAGCAGTTGCAACAAGGGCAGCTCATGCCATCACAGCAGCAGATGAAAGAGCGGCAGAGACAGGAGCAGATGAAGGAGCAGCAGATGGAAGAGAAGCGGATGAAACAGAAACAAATGCCACAGCAGCACATGATGAAACATCAGCGAATGGAACAGTAGCAGATGCAACCACAGCAGACGCAACAGCAACAGGGGCAGCAGCGGCAAATGGAAAGGCCACAGATGCAACAGGAGAAGATGCAAGGGCAGCCGATGCCACAGAATCAGACACGACAGCAGCAGATGCAACAACAGGAGATGACACAGCAGTTGCCACAGCCTTATACAGCACTGTTACAGTCATACGTACCGCAAGCAGTTGCACAAGGTGAGACTGCAGCTGGTGTAGGCCCATCAGAGTCTGGAGCCAGGCGCATATTGACGCGCAACAGAGATTACAACCAGCATGGAAAGTATCGAGGAGTGAGGAAGCGTGGAGCGTCTGGCTATGTCGCAGAGATCAAGGACACGACTCATGGATTCCGCAAATGGTTGGGCACGTTCAGTTCTGCAGAAGAGGCGGCTCGGGCGTTCGATAGAGCTGCTTTCGGTATCCGAGGATCAAAGGCGAAGCTTAACTTTCCGGAAGTTTTTCTACAGGAAAGGGGAGGAGTGGGTTCCAATCCTGCAGATCCAGAAGCACCGGTTCAGATGGAAGCCGCAGGAATGAAGGAAGGTAACATTGGTGACAAACATGGCCCGCGAGTGGCGAAGATTCGGGCATCTAAAGTACAAGTTGGAAGAGGCAGCTCTATGAGCTCTGGAGGGGAAGGGAAAGAAGCCGCAGATGCTGAAGATGCTGCGGAAGGGCGATCAGTGGGAGTGGATGCGGTCAAGAAAAGATCGTTTGGAGAGGGAAGAAGTAGGGCAGTGGCAGCGGCTGCAACAGAATCTGGTGGAAAATCAAGGGCTGGTAGTTCTGCGTCAGTTGGTGAAGCAGCAGGAGATAGAGATGGTGATGGAGGAGAGGGGGGAGGGAGAGGAGGAGGAGGAGGAGGAGGAGGAGGAGGAGGAGGAGGAGGAGGAGGAGGAGGAGGAGGAGGAGGAGGAGGAGGGGTAGCAATAGAGGCGTCAGCAGTAGCAGTACCAGCATACCCTCTTGAAAGAAGCTCCACTGTCGGCAGCAGCAGCTCCAGCAGAACCGCCCCTTTCTCCTCTGCCCCATCCACCTCGTCCTCTTCCGCCTTTGCTCCTTCCGCCCCGGCCTTTTTCTTACACTCCAGCCTTCCTGCTTCCTCTGCTTATTCCACATCTACCTCTTTCCTACACTCCACCTTTCCTGCCACCTATTCCCATTACCCCTCTTCCTCATTCCTACAATCCACCCTTCCTGTTTACCCTTCCCATTACCTCTCTTCCTCTTTCCCACAGTCCACCATTCATGCTATCTCTTCCCCTGAAGCTGCACTTACCACTCTTCCTCTCCATGTCATACTTCCGTCTTATCCTGGTGTACTGCAAGCCTCAGCTGTCACACCATTCCCTTGTGGTGATACCATGGGTCGCTTTTCTATCCCGCAGCAGAATTCACCTTGTGCTGGAACTGGTGGGACAGGTTTGCTGGGCTTAGGTGGGCTAGGAGCAGGTACGGTCAGGATTAAAGGGTTGGGAATTGAGGGCGTGGCAGCAGACGCGGAGCGGTCCTATGCGTGTGCGGAGCGGTTTGTTCAGCAGCTGGTGAAAATTGAAGAAGCAAATGAGGCTGGAGTGGGTGGGGTTCGTGCTACAGAACGCAAGCAGGGAGCAGAACAAGGGGAGATTTGTACATGGGAAGGAATCAGTGGGAGCAGGAGGAAGGTGGGGACGATGGAGGAGGAGGAGGATGAGGAGGAGGAGGAGGAGGAGGAGGAGGAGGAGGAGGAGGAGGAGGAGGAGGAGGAGGAGGAGGAGGAGGAGGAGGAGGAGGAGGAGGAGGAGGAGGAGGAGGCAGAGGAGGAGGAGGGGAGTGTGATGGAGAGGACGACAAGAATTGATGAGCATTTTTCTTGCCTTGTTTCTCGTCATGGTTGTGTGGCAACGGTGACAGAAATGGGGGCAGCAGATCAGTACCAAGAGTTGCCTCACAGCCATCACTCACAGGCGCAGCAGCGAAACCAAAAGGCAGAAAACGACCACCAGCATGAGCAGCAGCACCTGCAGACTCTGCTGCAGAAGCAATTGCATTTAATGGACCAACATGAGCATATGCAGCAGCAGCAGCAGAAGAAACGCCTTGCGTCAAGCTTCCCACGATGCAACTCTCTTCCCCCAAAGGCTGGAAGGAGGGGCACAAAAGGTGCACGGTGGGCTTCAGCAGACCTCACAGCTCAACCTTTCTTCAAAGAGGAAAATATGGAGCCACAGACGTTTGGTAGCCACACCCCGGACTTCAGAAGAGACGACAAAAGGTCAAAGCTTTCAAGCCCTCCCTGGTCCACAGCTCATTTCGAACCTGCGTCTCTATTTTTTCGAAGCCAGAGTGTCTCTTTCCCCCTGGAACCACCAGTCATAAGTGCTTCAACCCCTGAAGGTGTGAGCATTGCAGGTGGTGCTGATGTTGCTTGTGGTTCAAGTGTTGTGGGTCCTTCGATTGGCATATCTGCTACAGGTGAAAGTGTGGGTAGTGGACATAGCAGCATGTCAGCTGCTTCCAGTGTTGCCCATGCTGCTGATGTTGCCGGTGCTGCTGGTGTTTCCGGTGCTCCTGTTATGGTCGGGCTTGCATCCACCCCAGCCCGCTCTCTCAAAGCAGATTCCAATCACTTGCTGCATTGGGTCAGGCGATCACGGTCACATGAACAGGGGGCAATGGGAGCAGGACTGCTGGACAGCGCAATATTGCATGCACCCGTATACCAACAACGGGTGGCAACCAAGGTTAACGTCCAAGGTTTACCGAATCATTTTGAAGAGCAACCGAGGATGCATGCTAGCACACGCAAGCCGCATACAAGGAATGAACACTTGATCCCGCATCAGCTGTTACAGAAGAGAGAGGTGGAGGGGCAGCAGAGGATGTGGATGGACTTGATGCAGATGGCACAGCAGCAGCAGCAGCAGCAGCAGCAGCAGCAGCAGCAGCAGCAGGGGAAACAGCAGCGCCTTGTGACAAGCATCTCGCAATGGATTTCTCTACGAGTGAAGGCTGGAAGGAGGGGCAAAGCAGCTGCACGGCATGTTTCTGTCGACCTCACAGGTCAACCTTCCCTCAAGGAGGAGAGTGCGGACCAGCAGACCTCTAGGAGCCACACCCCAGACTTGGAAAGAGATGACACAACGTCCAAGATTACCAGCCCTCCTTGGTCCAGGCCTCAACCCAAGCCTCGTTCCGAACCTGTGACTTGTATGGTCCGAAGCCGCAGCGTCTCTTTCCTCCTGGAACAAAAAACCGCCAGTGCTGGAACCCCGTATTCTCAGCCCTGTGTGGACATCACAGGTGGTGTGGGTGGTGTGATCGGTACAAGTCGTGACATCACAGGTGGTGTGGGTGGTGTGATCGGTACAAGTCGTGACATCACAGGTGGTGTGGGTGGTGTGATCGGTACAAGTCGTGAGATCACAGGTGGTGTGGGTGGTGTGATCGGTACAAGTCGTGACATCACAGGTGGTGTGGGTGGTGTGATCGGTACAAGTCGTGACATCACAGGTGGTGTGGGTGGTGTGATCGGTACAAGTCGTGACATCACAGGTGGTGTGGGTGGTGTGATCGGTACAAGTCGTGACATCACAGGTGGTGTGATCGGTACCAGTCGTGACATCACAGGTGGTGTGGGTGGTGTGATCAGTACAAGTCGTGACATCACAGGTGGTGTGGGTGGTGTGATCGGTACAAGTCGTGACATCACAGGTGGTGTGATCGGTACCAGTCGTGACATCACAGGTGGTGTGGGTGGTGTGATCGGTACAAGTCGTGACATCACAGGTGGTGTGGGTGGTGTGATCGGTACAAGTCGTGACATCACAGGTGGTGTGGGTGGTGTGATCGGTTCAAGTCGTGCTCATGTTGCTTGTGGTTCGGGTGCTGTGGGTCCTATGATTGGTATATCTGCTGCAGCTGTAAGTGTGGCAAGTGGACATAGCAGCCCGGCAGCTGCTGCCAGCGCTGCTGCTGCTGATCCCTGTGTTGCCACTGCTGCCAGTGTTGCCAAAGTTTCTGGTTTTTCCGGTGCTTCTGGTTTGGCCGGTGGTGCCGGTTTTGGCGGTGCTGCTGGTTTTGCCAGTACTGCTGGTGTTGCCGGTGTTGCTGGTATTCCCGGTGTTGCTGGTGTTGTCGGTGCTGCTTGTGGTTCCGGTGACACTGTTATGGTTGGGCTTGCATCCACCCCAACCGGCTCTCTCAAAGATGATCCGACTCGCTTCCTGCACATGGTCAGGAGATCACGGTCACATGAACGGGGGGCAATGGGAGCAGGACTGCTGGACAGGGCAATGTTGCGTGCACCAGCATACCAACAACGGGTGGCAGACATAATTTACGGCGAAGGGTTACCAAACCATTTTGAAGTGCAGCCAGGGAGGCGTGCTAGCAGGCATGTGCCTTACGAGTCACCACAAAAACCGCCTAGTAGGTACGGACACAGCACCCCGTATCACCTGCTGAAGCAGGGAGAATTGGAGGGGCAGCAGAAGCTGTGGCTGGACGAGATGCAGTTGGCACAGCAGCAGCAGCAGCAGCAGCAGCAGCAGCAGCAGCAACTGTAGTGGCAGCAGGATTTACACTCAGTGCTGCAGCAGCAGTTGCATTCAATGCATCAACAAGAGCAGCAACAGCAGAATCATCACCAGCAGAAGTGTAAGCAGCACCAGCGTCCACATTCAGTGCTGCAGCAACAGTTGCAGTTAATGCAGCAACAAGAGCAGCAGCAGCAGCAGCAGCAGCAGCAGCAGCAGCAGCAGCAGCAGCAGCAGCAGCAGCAGCAGCAGCAGCAGCAGCAGCAGCAGCAGCAGCAGCAGCAGCAGCAGCAGCAGCAGCAGCAGCAACAGCAAGGGCCACTCTCACCGTTCCAGCAAGCCCTCCCATCCTTCATACTGTCTCAGCCTCCCATAACACCTTCTCAATTTACTCAAAAGTCACCTCTCCTACAGCCTCTTGTCCCCATATATTCTACTTCTCTCACCTCCGCTGCTGTAGCCACTGCTGCCGGTATTGCTGCCGGCGCTGCTGCTGGCTCTTCTACTGCTGCCAGGGCTGAGGCAGCAGTCCTCGCTCCCCCCTTCTCTTCAACCACCCTCTTCCACAATACTTCCAGAATTCCTGTATCTAGCTGTTCACAGGCAGGCGCTATTGAAGCCTTGGGGCGTGATGCCTCTAGGAGAATCGACAGCCCTGAAACCGGCGGTGCTGGCCGGAGTGGTGGGGATGTGCTCATGCAGGAAGTCACAGCAGCAAACTATGGGGCTGCGTGCAGTGGTGGTGGTGGTGGTGGTGGTGGTGGTGGTGGTGGTGGTGGTGGTGGTGGTGGTGGTGGTGGTGGTGGTGGTGGTGGTGGTGGTGGTGGTGGTGGTGGTGGTGGTGGTGGTGGTGGTGGTGGTGGTGGTGGTGGTGGTGGTGGTGGTGGTGGTGGTGGCGGTGGTGGTGGTGGTGGTGGTGGTGGTGGCGGTGGCGGTGGCGGTGGCGGTGGCGGTGGCGGTGGCGGTGGCGGTGGCGGTGGCGGTGGCGGTGGCGGTGGCGGTGGCGGTGGCGGTGGCGGTGGCGGTGGTGGTGGTGGTGGTGGTGGTGGTGGTGGTGGTGGTGGTGGTGGTGGTGGTGGTGGTGGTGGTGGTGGTGGTGGTGGTGGTGGTGGTGGTGGTGGTGGTGGTGGTGGTGGTGGTGGTGGTGGTGGTGGTGGTGGTGGTGGTGGTGGTGGTGGTGGTGGTGGTGGTGGTGGTGGTGGTGGTGGTGGTGGTGGTGGTGGTGGTGGTACAGAGCATTCTACAGCGGAGCGTCATATTGAGGAGCAGCATTGCGCGGAAAAGCATTGCGAGGGGCAGCCTAGTAAGGGGGAGCAGACTAATGCGGACCAGGGTTGTGAGCGCCAGCCATGTGCAGGCCAGCCCAGCCCCAAAAAGCACTGTGTGGATGAGTTGTGTGCTGCCCAGCCTAGTGCTGACCAGCTGTGTTCTGCCCAGCAGCGTGTTATGGAAGATTTGAGCCTTCCACTTTCTCAACCCTCAGAAGATTTGTTGCTTCCTGAGGGCACGTACCACACTTCGTCTGCTGCCGCGGATATTACCACCCCATTCTCTCATATTAACAGAACAACCTGTTTCAGCTTCGAGAACTACACCAGTGCTGTCCCTTTCATGGAGCATTTGCGAGCAAGGGGTATATATTCCGATGTTGGTGGAGAGGCTATGGATGTGGGAGTGTCAGCGGGCACTGCAGAAAACATCCGGCATTTGGCTGTAGGTGGCACTGATGCTGGGGTCTTCACCATTGATCGGCTTGAGTCGTTGTTGATGGATACTGGGGAGCATCAGAAACAAGATTAGTGGCGTGAAACGTGCAGTATCTTAAAGGTAGCTATATTTGTTCGTTTCATCCATGGATCAAATGATACAAGACACAGAATATGGGATTTGGGAGTTGAGGGACGAGAGTCGGGGATTGGGAGCTAGGAAACGGAGGAGACAGGAGATGAGGGACAAGGGATGTGGTAAGAAGGAAGTTTGAACTATGGCTTCGACCTAGGGAGACTCATAGAAGCTTGCAGAGAATCTTGGAAGCTTGTGGTGACTCTTTGAAACTTGTGGGGAGAGATATGTTGTGATATCAGCAGATTTGTCCTGTCTCTACTCCACCGATTGCCCGTCTACGTCCTTTCCTTCGCTCTGGCGCCATGCTCTTTTGCTCCCACCCTTCCACCATGCGTCCCTACCTCCCTTACTCTCACACTGCAAATGTCTCCCTCGCTTCAAGTCCTTTCACTCCCCATTGTCCCAGTCTCCTTTCCACCCTTCCTCCCTAACTCCCTTCCTCTCTACCTCTGTATCAAACATTACTGCCTTCAACCCGTATGCATTTCCAGCCTTCCAAACACCCTTTGTCTCTACACCCCTTGCTCCCTTCCTCTCTTCTTACCTTTCCACCAACCTCCTGGCGTGCTTTTGGTCAAACATATATATATTTGTATGTTCTAGGCTGTAGTGATGCATGCATCAGAGAGTATAGGTTGTTAGGGTTTGCATTTGTACCCACCACCTTTCCTAATCTACCATTCTATTCTACGTACTTCTTGAGACTTTCTTCCAACCTCCTTTCCACCCTTCCCCTCGACCTCTGTTATCCTTTTTTATTCCCCTCTCTCGGCTTCTCCATTTCGCCCCTCCAGCCTCGATTCCACCCTGTGGAGAGTCACTACACAGCAGGAGTGGACTACGGAGGAAGGCACGGGGTTGTGCGGGTGATCGTAGCGTTGCACTAGGCGTTCTCACTACTTGCTGTGTTTACAAGGAAATTTTGCAAGAGTTTCACTAAGAAATTGAGAGAACATTAGATTACAATGAGGCATGCAAGTCGATCTAGGTACAATGGCATTCCAACACCTAGCAAGCCCTCTGCGGGGCGAACTATGCCAGCACAGCAGAAGAGCGGCTTGCCAACATTGCAGCAGAGTAGTCTGTCAGCGTTGCACCGCAGTGGTCTGCCAGCGCGGCAGAGGCAGGTGAACTTCTGCACATGTGCGCACCTACCAAGTAGGTGCAGATAGACGGTCGCGCCGCCAGGCACATTGCACAGGTGCCAAGAAGAACGCGTGTCGACGGTTTCTCAAGCAATGCACCGTCGAGCACGTGATGTCGTTCCGCAGGTCGACTTCGCGAAAACCTCCTGGGCGACATTCGCCTACACGTCGGATTTCACAGTCGAGCGAGTTGCGTCGACCAGCTCGACGATGCTCCGTCGAACAGTATTTGCCTAAACGAGCACGTCGAGCAGAGCCTGTATACCAGCACCTCTCTATGGGCTCGTCGACCAGCGTCCTCTGCGAGCTCATCGACCGCGTCCTCTGCAAGCTCGTCGACCGCGTCCTCTGCGAGCTCGTCGACCGCGTCCTCTACGAGCTCGTCGACCGCGTCCTCTGCGAGCTCGTCGACCGAGTTCTCTGCGGACGCTTTGACCAGGGTCCTCTGCGGACGCTTCGACCAGCGTCCTATGCAGACTAACTCTTCGGACAGGTCGAAGTCGAACTCTGCGGACAGGTCGAGGTCGAACTCTGCGGACAGTTTGAGGTCAAACTCTGCGGACAGGTCGACGTCTAACTCCGCGGGTTGTCGACGTCGACTTTTGCGCGCCCCCGACTGCGAAGCCTGCTTCGCCCAAGCGAGGGCGGAACCATTTCCCGCCAACACTCCCCTGCCGCGCTCGCGCTTGGGCACCCCACACGCTAGGTCATGTGCACGAGCCTTGTGTGCCACATGTCTGGCGTAGACTTCGTCACTGAGGCGATTGTCCGGAGAGCCACCACTTCTTCCGGGGCCGACATCGACTTCTGCGAGCAAGGTCGAAGGTCGGTGCAGAGGACCTGCCGGAATACTTCGCCCGACCAAGGACGTCCCCCGCCGCCGAGACGAGCAGCATTTCGTCGGCGACATCTTGCAGCTTCACGCCGCTATCCTTCAGTTGGCCCGCAGATAGCAAGTTCGTGTGCACGTTCGGGACGTAGATGTCAGAATGTTATATTGCTTGCTTTGTGTAGGCTATAGTGGGGTAGCCAATAAGGGGTACAACCCAATTAGGGTTAGTAATTTTACCCAACTTTTGCTCAATGCATTCATTCTCGTTCATTCTTTTGACATGGTTTCAGAGCAGGTCCTTCGCTACCCCAGAGCTGCCCCACTAGCTGCCCTGCCCTACCAGCTCGCCGCCCTGCTGGCTCACGCGCCGCCCTCTGCAGCCCTCGTGCCGCACCTGCTGCCCCACACGCCGCCCTTTTGCGGCCCGCATGTAGCCCCTAGGCCACGCGCACCACCCCTTCCGGCCCGCCCGTCACCCCTGCTGCCCCGCGCGCCGCCCCTTGCGGCCCGCCCGTTGACCCTAGGCCCCGCGCGCCCCCTCTGCAGGCCCGCCCGTCGACCCTAGGCCCTGCGCGCGCCGCCCCTTGCGGCCCGCCCGCCGACCCTAGGCCCCGCGCGCCGCCTCTGCAGGCCCGCCCGTCGACCCTAGGCCCCGCGCGCCGCCCCTACAGGCCTGCCCGTCGCCCCTGCTGCCCCGCGCGCCGCCCCTTGCGACCCGCCCGTCGACCCTAGGCCCCGCGCGCCGCCCTTGCAGGCCCCGCCCGCCGCCCCTGCTGGCCCGCCCGTCGACCCCAGGCCCCGCGCGCTGCCCCTTGCGGCCCGCCCGTCGACCCCAGGCCCCGCGCGCCGCCCCTTGCGACCGGCCTGTCGCCCCTAGGCTCCGCGCGCCGCCCCTGCTGCCCTGCTTGCCGCCCCTGCAGCCCCGCGCGCCGCCCCTTGCGGCCCGCCCTTCGCCCCTGCAGCCCGCGAGCCGCCTCTGCAGCCCCGCGCGCCGCCCCTGCAGCCACGCGCGCCGCCCCTTAAGGCCCGCCCACCTCCCCTAGGCCCGCCAGCCGCCCCTAGGCCTGCGAGCCGCCCCTCTTGCAGCCTGCGCGCCGCCACTTGCAGCCCGCTTGCCGCCCCTTGCTGCCGCCTGCCCTGTTCCTTGCGCTGCTCGACTCATGCCCGCCCTACGTGCTGCGCTGCTATGGCTTCTCTCCGGGTACTCGCGTTCGATCATGAGGGCCGTCCGATCCAGTTCGACACGTGGCTAGACGACTTGCAGCTGTACCTACTGAGCGACTCTAGAGACAGCGTTTCGTTGTTTGACCACACGTCTGGAGCTTCTCCTGCCCCTCCCACCACAGCTGACAGTGCGACTCGCTCACAGTGGCTTACTCGTGATGCTGCTGCTCGCTTAGCCATTCGCAACCACTTGCCGTTAGCCAAATATGCTCACTTCGGACAGCACAGGACTGCACACGCACTGTACGACGCTGTAGTCGCCCGTTACTCCTTGCCGGCCACTGCTGCTCTAGGCCATCTTCTACTGCCCTACCTGTTTCCCGAGCTGTCCGCCTTTGCCACAGTAGAGGACCTCGTTACTCACCTTTGCACTAGCGACGCTCGCTACCGCGCTGCCCTCCCAGCAGAGTTCCTTGAGAGGAACCCGCCCCCGATGGACTCTCTACTTTATAGTCACCCGCCTCCCTGACTCTCTTCGCGCTGCCAGGGACCACTTTCTCGCACTTGACCCCACAGCCCTCACTCTCGACCTACTCGAGCAGCACCTCCTTGCAGCTGAGACTAGTGTAGTCGCTGTAGGTGCCACTCGTGGCACTGCTGGTACGCCCTATTTTGAGGGGTGTTCCCCCTCCCCCCTTGCCCCCTCCTACGCCTCTGCTGCTGCTGTTGACGTCCTTGGTGCTAAGGATGTTGGGGCTGCTTCTGCTAGTGGGAAGCGCCGCAGCAGCAAGGGCAAAGGTGGCAGGGGTGGTGGCGGTGGCAGCGGAGGTGGTGGTGGGGGCGGCAGTGGAGGTGGTGGCGGTGGTGGGAGTGGTGGTGGGAGTGGGGGCTTTGGGGGCAGCGGTGGTGGCAGCGGTGGGGGTGGCGGTACTGGCGGCAGTGGGAGTGGTGGCGGTCGGGCTGGAGCTACTCAGCGGGGAGGCTCTGGCGGTCGCCAGAGGCAGCAGCAGCAGCGTCGGAGCGAGACCCCTGTTGGTGCAACCCTACTGTTTGCATTCGGCTTGTTGTCCGTGTGCGTGCATGCGTGTGTGCATGGAATGGTATGAGGGCATGAAATAATATATATTTCATGCTTACAATAGTGTGTGAATGATGAGGCATGATTTTCAATGTGTGTTTCGAGTCAATAGCGAGTTATCGCTAGTCGCGTGTCACATCGTCGTTTGCATGTCGTGTGCGGTTTTCTATTTTGTCGTGTGTGGAACGTTCGGCGTGTCGCAGGTGTGCGCAGCAGACTTCCAAGAACTCAAGGAAGAATTTATCTTGAAGAACCAGAGCCTTGGTTTCAAGATTCAAGTGATTTCGAAGCTCTCCAAAAGGGTAAACTTTAACATAGTGAGAATAGCTGCATTACTTTGTGTAGTGTAACATTTCTCTTGGTGTAGGCCCTTGTGGAGGGTAGTTTCGAGACCCTTCGTGGTTGGGGACAGTGTGGCACTGTTCCAAATCACTGTACCTCGGCTCTTGGGGTTTGTAGGAGCTGGGAGTCATTCCCAACTCGAAACTCTTCCAAATTTGTGTTCTAAGTCTATAGTGGCTGCCATAGTGCCGTTCGTTCAAACCAACGTTGCGTCGTCTATGCTTAATGAAATTGTGCGATGTAAATTGCCAAGTGTAGGGGACGTCAAGATGCTTCAGATCCGATTTGAATCAAGTCATTTTGAGCTGTGGCCAGAACGCTATCAACGTTTGAAGTCGCTGTGCAGAAATCCGACTGTGCACTCTATCTTTTGTTTTAGGCACATTCAAGCCTA